GGCCCCGAAATGGAGTTTGCTAAAAAAAAAAAAAAAAAAGCTGCAGGGACAGGACGACTGGTTGCAATCGAGGGAAAGATGAATGCTGCCAAGTACAGGAATATCCTGGACAAAAACCTTCTCCCGAGTGCTCAGGACCTCAGACTGGGCCCAAGGTTTACCTTGTAACCAGTCAATGACTCTAAGCACACAGCTAAAATAACGAAGGAGTGGCTTCACAACAACTCCGTGACTATTCTTGAATGGCCCAGCCAGAGCCCCAACTTGAATCCAATTGAGCATCTCTGGAGAGACTTAAAAATGGCTGTTCACCAACATTTACCATCCAACCTGACAGAACTGGAGAGGATCTGCAAGGAGGAATGGCAGAGGATCCCCAAATCCAGGCGTGAGAGACTTTCTCACGTCTGTGAGAATTTTACGCTAGGGTTAAACTTGCCCTTCAGGGAATATTGACACCTCTGCGTGGTAGAACTGACTTCCTTTAAAAAAAAAAAGTGTTTCAACATCTCTGCCATATTCATGAATGGAAGGGGTGTGAGTCGGCTTCATAAATCAAGTCAACTTGATTTGTATGGCACTAGTCAGACACAAGGTAATTCAGAGTGCTTTACAGCGGGATAAAAGAGGAAAACAAAAAGATATTTTAAATATATAAAGCATACTGTATATGGATACATGTCATGATGTAAAGCATGCACAAACGATCATGACAGTAATATAACAACAAGCAAAAATCAAACGCTTTCCCATGTTCACATATCTTGTTATATATATTTATGTCCTAATGTGTACTATTGACCATGTACTGTAGATGCTATCGTCACAATGAATCTAGGTGGTTTTCCACTACAACCTCAGTAAGGGCAATGTCAAAACAGTGCTAAAACTATGAGAAGAGCCAATCCTCCACAAACATGCCTTGTAATGACTAATCTTTAAACCGTATCCAACCAGTAGGAGTTACAGCAAATAAAAGGTTAAGAAATCTATATGAGTGGTTAAAAAGACGGAAGCAATGCCTGGCTCCGCCCCAAAGTCTGCACCTCTCCTCTGAGTTGCAAAATGTGTCATGTGGATCACGTGGACTTGTACACAACATCCATCAGGTTTTTCAGGAGTCACAGGCAGTTTTCTTTTTGAGACACCTTATAATTTTCACAGATGTTCATGTACAGTGATTTGCAAAAGTATTCGGCCTCCTTGAACTTTCCCACATTTTGTCACATTACAGCCACAAACATGAATCAATTTTATTGGAATTCCACGTGAAAGACCAACACAAAGTGGTGCACACGTGAGAAGTGGAACGAAAATCATACATGATTCCAAACATTTTTTTCAAATAAATAACTG